CCTTGAGGAGGAGGCAGAGCTGAAGGACTAAGAGCTGCCGGCATAGAACGAGCCTGTGCGGAAAGACGTTCCTGGGGCAAGGTGAGCTCAGCAGGGAGAAGGAAACCTGTGTGAGCCCGGGGCCAGCAGGACGGGGCACCACCCTCATGGCAGACGCTGCAGAAACAGGCCTGGGTCAGGGCCCCTCGGGACGGTGCCGTGGCACAGATGGAGCTCGTGTGTGTGGCTGAGGCGAGTGTCACCGTCTTTCCTCAGCCTCTGGTTCCTCAGCTGTAAATTCCGGCCCAGGCCTGCCATGCACAGTCCATCTATTTTTTTTTCTTTTCTTTTTTTTTTTTTTTTTTTGAGACGGAGTTTCACTCTTGTCACCCAGGCCGGAGTGCAATGGCGCGATCTCGGCTCACCGCAACCTCCGCGTCCTGGGTTCAGGCAATTCTCCTGCCTCAGCCTCCTGAGTAGCTGGGACTACAGGCACGCACCACCATGCCCAGCTAATTTTTTGTATTTTTAGTAGAGACGGGGTTTCACCATGTTGACCAGGATGGTCTCGATCTCTTGACCTCGTGATCCACCCGCCTTGGCCTCCCAAAGTGGTGGGATTACAGGCGTGAGCCACTGCGCCCGGCTATTAAAAAATTTTTTTTGAGACAGGGTCTCATTCCGTCACCCGGGCTGCAGTGCAGTGGCGCGATCTCAGCCCGCTGCAGCCTGGGCCTCCTGGGCTCAAGCGATCCCCCCACCTCAGCCTCCCGAGAAGCCCGGCTCACAGCACACGCCGCTCCACCTGGCTCATTCAGTATTCATCGAGTTGAACAGCAGATTTTCCAGGCTGGCTCCGTGCCTGCCCTGGCCTGATTTTGCCTTCCTGGTCTTAAACTGCTTTTCACTCAGAAGGCCCCATGATTGTGTAAGCTCCCAGGGCTTCCGAGCTGGACCTGTCCTGACCAAGTAGGAAATGTAGGTCCCAGGTTGGTAAATCCGGTCATCAAGCCTGAGAGGCTGCAGGGGTGGGGAGGCGGGGCAGACCCCGAGGAGGGAACGGCTGGAGGTTCGGGCAGGAGGGGCCCGGGTGTCCGGGGCCAGTGACCCAGGCACGCAAAGGCCAGAGACGGGCGGGGGCGGGGGTGCAAACTGCAGGAGGGACCAGGGCTTGCTTTTTCTTTTTTTTTTTTCTTTTGACCCAGGCTGGAGTGCAGTGGTGAGATCTCGGCCCACTGCAACCTCTGACTCCCGGGCTCAAGTGATTCTCCTGCCTCAGCCTCCTGAGTAGCTGGGATTTCAGGCCCCTGCCACCACGCCCGGCTATTTTTGTATTTTAAGTAGAGAAGGGGTTTCTCCATGTTGGTCAGGCTGGCCTCAAACTCTCGACCTCAGGTGATCCGCCCGCCTCTGCCTCCCAGAGTGCTGGGATTACAAGCATGAGCCACCGCGCCCAGTCAGTGGGGTTTCTTCCAAAGGCACTGGGAGTCGTGGGTGGCTTTGGGCCACAGACCAATGTGACTGACTGAGGAGCCAGGCCCTGGGTCTCCATCTCCCAGCACAAGCCTGGCGTGGTCAGGGCCTTTGCACAGGCTACGCTGCCTGCCCACAGCACGCTTCCTGCAGCTTCCTGGGATACCGCAGCCCCCTCCTCCAGGCCTTCCCCCAGCACCTCACCCTCTCCCTGCCCCAGTGTTTCCCCCCGCCTTCTGGACGGTATCTGACTTGCTGTACTCATAAGGTTGACTCTGATGCCGGCGTCCCCCCTGCCTGGCTCTCCGAGTCAGCCGCACTCTGAATGCCCAGCCCCTGGAGCAGGTGTTTATTTTTCCTTTTTGAGACGGAGTCTTGCTGTGTTGCCCAGGCTGGAGTGCAGTGGTGCAATCTTGACTCATTGCAACCTCTGCATGCTGGGTTCAAGCAATTCTCTTGCCTGACCTCCTGAGTAGCTGGGATCACAGGCGCACGCCACCACACGCAGCTAATTCTGTATTTTTAGTAGAGACGGGGGTTTCTCCATGTTGGTCAGGCAGGTCTCAAACTCCCGATCTCAGGTGATCTGCCCTCCTCGGCCTCCCAAAGTGCTGGGATTACAGGGGTGAGCCGTGGAGCCCAGCCCCAGCCCCAGCCAAGTATTTTTTAAATAAATGGATCGGCTGGGTGCAGTGGCTCAGAACCCTAATCGCAGCACGTGAGGAGGCCAAGGCAGGAGGATCACTTGAGCCCAGGACGTCAAGACCAGCCTGGGCAGCATAATGAGACCCCATCTCTGTAAATATGTATTATGTGCATTTTTTCTGAGATGGAGTCTTGCTCTGTGGCCAGAACTGGAGTGCAATGGCATGCTCTCAGTTCACCGCAACCTCCACCTCTGGGTTCAGGCAGTTTTCCTGCATAGGCTCCTAAGTGCTGGGTTACAGGCGTGCACCACCACGCCTGGCTAATTTTTGTATTTTTAATAGAGACGAGGATTCACCATGTTGGCCAGACTGCTCTCGATCTTTAAATATTTTTAAAAATTAAAATAAGCATGGCCAGGCGCGGTGGCTCACACCTATAATCCCAGCACTTTGGGAGGCCAAGGCGGGTGGGTCACCTGAAGTCAGGAGTTTGAGACCAGCCTGGCCAACATGGCAAAACCCTGTCTCTACTAAAAATAAAAAAAATGAGGCAGACGTGATGGCGCACACCTGTAATCCCAGCTACTCGGTAGGCTGAGGCAGGAGAACTGCCTTAACCCAGGAGGGGGAGGTTGCAGTGAGCCAAGGTCACTTCACTGCACTCCAGCCTGGGTGTCAGAGTGAGACTCCATCTTCAAAATAAATAAATAATAAACATAAATGCAGAGTACTCCGGCCTGGGCAGGGGATCAGAGTGAGCGTGCCGAGGCCAGGGAGGGTCCCTGTGCTCGCCGGCAGGTGCTGGCCTGGGTGAGGCTGTGGGTTGGAGAGGAGTCACCAGGATCTGGTGACAAGGACCATGAGCCAGCCTCCCTTGTGACTTGCACGTACCGCCGGCGCCTGGGGGAGGCGTTGTCTTTCTGCTTCTGGCACTGCCAGGCCCGGGGGTGGGGGGGGTTCTCAGGCTGTGCGGGTCCCGCCTCCTCCCTGCTCCCAGCCGAGTCCTGGGGCTCTGGCGACCTGCCCAGCCTAACATCTTCCCAGGGTGAACATAAAAGATCCCACTTCAGCTGGAGCACGCATCTGCCTCTGGGCGGGCCACAGCCTGGCACTGCCAACCGTGCTGCCCGCCCAGCCTCTCCCGCGCCGCCTCAGGACAGACAGCTGTCCCGCCCGCCTGCTCAGAGAGGCCGGCCGGGCCGGTGTGAGGGCGAAGGGGTCCCCAGAGTGTGGGGCAGCCTGGCCGGGGCACGAGACAGTCAGGCTCAGCCCATCCTCTGTGAGCTGGGCACATGCTGGTCCTCCCTCAAGCACCACTGAGTTTCTCCCGCGTGCAGGAAGGGGGCCGCGTCTGTCCCAGTGGCATAGAGGTGCAGGTGGGTGGGGGCACCCAGCACACAGGACATCGGGCCAGGTGCTGAGAGGGTCTCAGGAGGGCCTCCGGGTGGGGGTCAGCTCCCACTTTGTGTGTCTCTGTCTCTCTCCTCTCTCTCGTTTGCCAACTTCCTCACCTGCCCTCTCCCGGCTGTCTGGTGGGCTGAGTGGCTGGGGACAGAGGCCCCACGTCGCCTGGCACCAGGCCGCCCCCACACCCAGCAGGGCTGTGGCCCAGAAGCAGAGCTTTGGAAAGCTCCTTTCTCAGAGCTGGGGACTAGGAACTGGGGGCACAGCTGCGCCGGAGCCCGAGGACTCGGGGAAGGAGCCAGCCCCGGGGCAGGGGGCTCCAGGTCTCCCTGTGACCCCAATGTAAAGCCCCCCAAGACCTAGAGGAAACCCCCCGCGCTGCTCCCCAGGCACTGTTGAGGGCTGGGTGGGAGCCCCGCACGCGCCGTAGCTCTTCCAGTTTTCCTTGTCAGCCTGGGCTCGGCCTCAGTTTCCTCAAATGCAGACCAGGGCCAGGCGTGTCCGAGATCCGCACACCGACCCCCGAGCCCGCCTGCCCCTCCCCACGCGCCCGAGGGTCTCGGTCCAGGGCCCGCGGGCGACCAAGCAAAAGCTCTTTTATTGGGGAATCTTCGATCCTGCAGAGCGCGGGGAGGCGCCGGCCGCGGCCCCACTCTCCAGGCCCGCGTCACGCTCCTCCGGACAGAAGCGGAAACCGCGGAGCGGGAGCAGCGGCCCCGGCCGGGCAGCCGGGCTCGGTGACCTTGGGCGCGTCCTTCCGCTCGGCGGGCCTCAGTTTCCCCTCCTGGAGAGAGGCCTGCGCGGGGCTCCGAGGCCGCGGGCCGCGTGACCTTGGGGCGCCCCCGACCCGGCGGCCCCAGTTTCCCGGCGCGGGGCGGAGGCGGCGCGCGGACGGGCGAGGGGCGCAGCGGAGGCGGGGTTCCCGCCCCCGCCCCTCCCCCGCGCAAGGCTCCGCCCCCCGCGGCTCCGCCCCGCCCCGCCCCCGCCTCCCCCCTCCCTCGGGCTCCGGCCGGCGGCGGCGGCGGCGGCTCCGCTCCGCACTGCCCGGCGCCGCCTCGCCATGGACGCGCGCGGGGGCGGCGGGCGGCCCGGGGAG